GCATCCCCAGCCGGAGCTGGGACAAGCCTCCTCTCCAGCTCCACAGTCTCCAGGGTAGAGTCTGGCCTCATTTGTGGGGTTCCCTTTCCATTGCGCAGCCCCGGGGCTCCGGCTCCCCCATCCTGGGGAAGGAAGGCGCCTGTGGGGGAAGGGTCCTTTGGCACATCCCGGAGCCTTTCCTGGGCTCTGTCTGGCCGTTGGGAATGAGTCATGTCTGTGCTCCTCGGAGGAGTACAGGCTCCAGGGAATTGAGGAAGTGTTTGGAGCTTGGGAGCAGGCAGTGAGGGTCCCTTAGGAGTCTGACCGCCGCCCCACCCCTCAGTGGGTGTTAGGAGGCTCTCCTCCAGGAACCTGGGCTCCCTGGCACTTTGGAGCTGCTGAATGTGGGGCAGCCGCTGGCAGGGTTGGGGCAGGACCAGACAGGGGACAGATTACAGCCTTGTCTTTCCTCCCCTTCTCTTGCCCCAGTAATCCCTACAACCCCGAGGCAGGCGGTGCCAGGGCTCCGGGGCCCCGAGGGCAGCAGGCTGTGGGTGTTCCTTGGATTCGGGAGAGCTTTCCTTCCTGTGATGTTTTTATGTGTGTGTGGGTGGAGGGGGTTTAGGCAGGCCGACCGTGGGCACAGTCTGGCCTGGCGTTGTGCTGTGCTGGGAGTAGCATCCTGTTCCCAGAAGGGTTGTTCTCACTCATTCTCCAGGTTTCCACCCTGAGAGACTGAAGTCAGGGAGGCCGAAAGTGCCTCTCCATGGTGTGATTCGAGCCCAGGAGAGGATAATAGGAATGAAAGGCTATAGAAATTTCTTTCTGTGAGATGTTTACAAACCCAGGTGTTTAAGAGGAAAGAACACTGGCCTGGGAGTTTAGAAGAACCTGTCCCCTCAGCCTTGGTTCTGCTGTTGGTTTACTGTGTCCCCATCGGGCAGATCCTGTCACCTTTTATGCCTTACAGTTGCTTCATCTATCAAACAGGGAGCTTAATATTTGCTCACCCAGCTTCACAGTTGCCATGAAACTCAGATGTGGCAACAGGAAATAGAGCGGGGGCAGCAGGGCAGTGCTTGAAAAAAGCATGAAGCAGTGTAGGGGCAGGTGATAACATTTTCTGGAGAGGCAGGAATGTGTGTGCAGCCAACACGGGAGTGTTTACAGCCAGACACATGGCTACCATGAGGGGGATTCCAAGAAGTGTCAGAGTTCCTCCCTTCTGGTAGTTTCCAGGGTCAGTAAAGATGACAGATATACTTGAAATGTATGTCTAGAAACCCAAGATTGAAGTAATATAGAACCTACAAGGAAATAGAAGAGCCGTCTAGATTCAGGGCTCTAGGGATTCAGAAGGGCGAGCTACTCTCCGGCCTGGGGTGGCCGGGGAGGAACTGGGGGCCGGGTGAGTGGACCTCTAGAGTGACTGTGCTTTTCCGCCCGCAGCGGAGGAAGAACCGATGCTGGAACGTCGCTGTCGGGGCCCCCTGGCCACGGGCCCGACCCAGCCCCAACTTCTTTCTGGGCCCTCCCAGGAGTCGCCCCAGACCCTGGAGAAGGAGCCCCACGGGCTGAGGTTACAAGGCATTTCCGTGGCCCAATCCGGCAGCCAAGCTCCAGGTCGGGTCCATCGCTGTGCCCACTGTCGAAGGCGCTTCCCGGGCTGGGTGGCCCTGTGGCTTCACGCCCGACACTGTCAGGCCCGTCTGCCCCTGCCCTGCCTTGAATGTGGTCGCCGCTTCCGACACGCCCCCTTCTTGGCACTGCACTGCCAGGTCCATGCTGCTGCCACCCCAGACCTGGGCTTTGCCTGCCATCTCTGCAGGCAGAGCTTCCGAGGCTGGGTGGCTCTGGTCGTGCACCTGCGCGCCCATTCCGCTGCGAAACGGCCCATCGCCTGCCCTGAATGTGAGAGACGCTTCTGGCGACAAAAGCAGCTTCGAGTGCATTTGCAGCAGTGCCATCCTCCTGCCCCCGAGGCCCGGCCCTTCATATGTGGCAACTGTGGCCGCAGCTTTGCCCAGTGGGACCAGCTAGTTACTCACAAGCGGGTTCACGTCGCCGGGCCCCTGGAAGAGGCAGCAGCGGTCAAGGCTCTCGGGCCTCGGCCCAGGGGCCGCCCAGCGGTGAGAGCCCCCCGGCCAGGTGGAGATGCTGTTGACCGGCCCTTTCAGTGTGCCTGCTGTGGCAAGCGCTTCCGGCACAAACCCAACCTGATCGCCCACCGCCGTGTGCACACCGGTGAGCGGCCCCACCAGTGCCCTGAGTGCGGGAAGCGCTTCACCAATAAGCCCTACCTGACCTCACACCGGCGCATCCATACTGGTGAGAAACCCTACCCGTGCACCGAGTGCGGACGCCGCTTCCGCCACAAACCCAACCTTCTGTCTCACAGCAAGATTCACAAGCGATCCGAAGGGTCTGCCCAGGGCACCCCCAGCTCAGGGAGCCCCCAGCTTCCAGCCGGACCCCCGGAGTCCTCAGCAGAGCCCACCCCAGAGGCCCTCCTGAGGCCTGCCCAGGAGCCTGCCCTGGAGCCTCTGCTGGAGGCCCCAGGAGAGGCCCCCCGGGACCTGGTGGAAGCCCCCCCATCTCTCTACAGCTGCGATGACTGTGGCAGGAGCTTCCGGCTGGAGCGCTCCCTGCGGGCCCACCAGCGGCAGCACACAGGGGAGCGGCCCTTTAGCTGCACCGAGTGTGGGAAGAACTTTGGCATGAAGGCCCACCTGGTGGCCCACTCCCGGGTCCACTCAGGGGAGCGGCCCTTTGCCTGCGAGGTGTGCGGGCGCCGCTTCTCCCAAGGCAGCCACCTGGCAACCCACCGGCGTGACCATGCCCCCGAGCGGCCCTTCGTCTGCCCGGACTGTGGCAAGACTTTCCGCCACAAGCCCTACCTGGCCGCTCACCGGCGCATCCACACCGGTGAGAAGCCGTACGTCTGCCCCGACTGCGGCAAAGCCTTCAGCCAGAAGTCCAACTTGGTGTCCCATCGGCGCATCCACACGGGCGAGCGCCCCTATGCCTGCCCCGACTGTGACCGGAGCTTCAGCCAGAAGTCCAACCTTATCACCCACCGCAAGAGCCACATCCGGGACGGCGCCTTCTGCTGCGCCATCTGTGGCCAGACCTTTGACAACGAGGAGAAGCTCCTGGCCCATCAGAAGAAGCATGATGTCTGAGGGCAGGGGCTGTGGCAGCTGAGGCAGGGAGGGCCTGAGCGTCTTTGACACGGAGCGCTGCCGTGGGCCATGGGGCCTGTGCTGCTGCTGGTGAGGGGTGAGCTGGGCCCTGTTAGCGCAGGAGGTCACCCCCACCCCAGCCCAGGAAACCCACTTGCAGAGCACAGGGACCCTGGCCTCCAGCTGGTGTTTTTGCTAAGGTTCCGTCCTCACTGTCCTGTGCCCTGGAAAAGTAGCAATAGCAGCTCTACCCACCCCTTAGAGCCCTCAGGCTGGAGGGACCACCAGTGGACAGGAAGACCCTTCTCCACTGGTGTGAACGCCTTAATGTCCCTGACTTTTATTATGAATTCCTTCAGCTCATTGTTTTTTTTGGAAGTACTTGTAGGTATGGTACAGTTCTTAGTAACTGAGCGCTCGGGAGGAAGAGTGGACCAGCTGGATACGCCCGGGAGAACCTGCCGGCCTTGTTAGGCAGGACCAGGACGTGAGGTGAAGCCGAGCTGCTCTGACCTGTCGCCCCACCCTGTCCCTCCCTCCTGCCCCTGCACTGGCATTCAGACTTAGAGAGACCTGGCTGCTGTTGGTCTCAGCCCCCCCCCCCTAAAGATGAGCTCCTGGACATTTCCCCACCTTTCTGACTGGCTTCATCTGCCATCCTCTCCACATGGAGGGCATCCTCTGGCTGTCAGCAGCCCTGTGTCCAGGCTTTTGTCTGTGAACACCCCAACCTGCTTGCACTCCTTCCAGAACCCCACATGTGAACAGAACTGCCCCACTGATAACAGGGTCGGCTGACGGGAAGATAGGGGTGTTTCCTTTTCAACATTTCTAGCATCTGGATGCCCAGCCTCCGCTTGAACACTTAGGTGACACTTAGGTGACACTTAGGTGACAGGGAGTCCCCACTTCCTGAGGCCCTGGTTCTATTGTAGGATAATTCTAATGGTTAGAGGTTCCTCCTTATAATGAGTGAAATCTGCTTTCCTGTAATTTCTACCTACTGGGCCTTGTTCTGTTCTCTGGAACTAAACAACCTCGTCCCCTCCTTTTCAAACTAGAGAATAAAGATTTGGTTTTAGAACTGGTGGCCGAGAAGTGTTCCTTTCTCCTGGGGAGCTGTGGAGTCTGAGGGAGGAGCAGCATGCTCTGCCCCGAGAAGAGGGGGCTGTGGGATGCAGGGCCTTGGGAATAGGCCAAGTGCCCCGACTTGATCCCCTCTGTGCCCCATCTCCAGTTCTTCCCCGGGAAAGGCCAGGCACACCCGGCCAGTGGGGCTAGTTCTCTAGGAGCTCAGCCTTCTGTGGGGTCAAATCAGACTTGTTGGGTGCCAGTTATCAGGGGAAAAGGTCTGATTTGATTCTGTCCTGCAGTGCCTCCCTGGCTGGCCTGCTACAGTTCCCCACATCTGTCACTATGGACCCTTCCCTGTATTGTTGTTTCATATGAGTGTCTGTTTTTGACAGCTGTCAATAGGCCCTTTTCCTGTCTGTCTTAGTACCTTCTGCATAGATCCCCAGCATCTAGCACAGTCGAGTGCGTAATAACAGCCACACTTTGCTGATGTGAGTGGCAGCTGGTAAGGAAATTTACCTAAATTATCTCACACACTCCTGTGTAGTGGGTACTCTTCTTTTACAGATGAAAACATTTGCTTAAGGTCATATAATTGCTAGTCACCAGAGGTCTGACTCGTGGAACCCATGCTTTTGACCACCACCACGTGTTCATTGGGTGAACGGAATCCTCTGCTTTTGGTGAAGGTAAGTATTAAATGCCTACTGTGTGCTTGATGTTGGCATGGAAACAGGGTTGCAATGATAAGCCCCAATCCTTGCCCCTAGGAGGCCTAAGTCTGGGGTGGACATACATGTGTACACAATGAGTGGAGAGAGCTGGATGGAGTGGGTGAGGTTCTGAGTGTGTAGAAAGGAAGCAGACAGCTTCAAAGCTTCTTATTGGCTTATGGGGTTCTGTGGCCACTTAAAAACCTGTGTAGTTGATGGAAAATTATCTTTTAGAGCCTGGAGGCATAGTGTCAAGAATTCGTTACTTAACTATGTCTCAAAGGGAACCCAGGGCTTCAAGGAAAGGGAGCAGTGCTTTTTTTTGGCCGGGGGATGGGGCACCAGGAAAGTAGATGTCTGAGGTTGGTGGGCAGGGAGCAGGAGACAGGCCCTCAGGCATTTAGGGTTAGTATTGGAAGGGCTGGTGAAAAGGATGAGAGAGAGAGAGAGGGGTTCTGACCAGGGATCCTGACTTTTTGAAATTCACCTTTAAGGGAAATGCCTGATGTGCAGAGAAGGTGGTCATTGACTATTCTCTAGTGCTATGCTGGCCACTGCTTTTGAGTAGAGATGGTGAGGAGAGGTCCAAAGGTCAGGGGAAGCCACAGAAGTGGTCTTGAGGGGGCTGGTAAGGCAGGGACAGAGCGAACTTGCCCATGATTCCCGAGTCCCCCCAGGGGCCGAGTGGGTCCTACGTCCTTGCTCAGCATGGCGCCTGCGGACAGCAGTCTTGAAGGAGGGGCGGCCTGTGTTGGATGGGTCAGCGCTCTGCTGACAGGAGCTGCCCTTCTGTTACTGCCCCTGGATGTCCCACCCAGGTTGTCATCTCCCACAAGCGGTGCATCCCACTCGCCCATTTCTGTCAGTGGCCTGTCACCCAGTTCCACGATCCTGGGGGACTGTGGCTCAGCTGCCCCTGATTCCGCGTCGTCACCATGTCCTGGAGTCTTACTTTCCCAACATTCTGAAGAGTCCAGGTTTTTTCTCTTACAAAAGTACGAAGTTATCTTGTCAAAATTAAACAATGCCGACATACTTAGATTTATGTTTTTAATGTAGAAATCCTCCTCTATTCCCCCCGCTCCACCCTCCATATCTTTTCTCTTTACACCATGTAAGGGTTGGAGGGCACTGTCCTTCCAGACGTTTTTTCTGTGCATTTGTAGACATGCATTTGTAGGTCCCCCCCTTTTTTTTTTTTTGCTTAATGGAAATAGGATTCCAGATATACTTCATTCTTTCTACTCTTGAGATGTCCTTGGTCATGAAATGTCAATCTGGAGGAAGTCTTTCACTCTGTAGAGGACGAAATAGGCCCAGAAAGTGGAAATGACTTTAAAATGACTTTACCTCCATAAATGAGAGTCTTCAAAGAGTTGATGGCTAGTGATGCCTGGCTTCTGTGTAGGGTTATTTTACAAATGCTTCTATAGACAATTGAACGAGTTAGGGTCCTGCAAAAATCCAGTAAGGCAAGTATGTAACTAGAAACCTATTAACTCTTTTATAGGTGATTAAGTCAAAGTCTAGAGACAAAGTATCTTTTGGAAAATGCACACAAAGTTTGTGGCCAAACTGCTAGAATCTCAGTCCCCAGTTTGTATTGTGTGAAGAGGCTGAACAGCAGCTGGACTCATGGCAAATGCATCCCAGACAGCTGCTGACTGATTCATTAGAATAACGTCCATGGGCTAAACAGAAAGTTTTGTAGGAAGTCTGAGAGAGGCTCAGCTTCTGTTTGTATCATCTCGTGTCCCAGAGGCAGTTTCTAAGTGGCTCCGGAGAGAACCCTGCCAGCGGGAATGGACTGTAGCTGGCCCCTACGAGGTGGCGGTCTAAGGAATAGTCTTGACCTAAAGGAGCATTTCCTTCCAATTAGGGTGGTTAGAAGAGGAAATTCTCCTTGAAAGTCCCTGGCAACAGAAAACCCTTCTTGGCCATCTGGACGTTGCCTAAATCATCAGTGACACTTGATCTAGTAAATGAACCTCCGCAGGTCGCTGTTTACTCAAAGAGAAGGCTAGGGGTTGGGCTGCATGATATCTTAGCAGCCGCTCATAGAAACCCCGGGGTCGCTTATCACGAGCCCCCGACGTGCCCAGGGTCGCGCGGGTGCGAAGGACGATTTCTCTGCGGTCACGCGGGACACACTCATCTCCCTCTTAACCCCTAGCGTGTTTTAGTGCATGTGAGCGTCGGAGCCGGGTTCGTGCTTGTTCCCCCGGATCCCGACCCCCAGGGCGGTGCAGAGTGTCGCAGGCGTCCGACCGACGGTCGCAGAGGGTCTGGGTGGATTTCAGATCGCGCGTCTGCGGGGCCGGGGCGGGAGAGCCTGGCGGAGGGGAGGCGCGGGAGCTGTGTCCGTACGGCCACAGGTCACAGCGTGGCCTCGCCCCCGCCCCACCTCCCCTCGGGTCCCGGACCCAGGTGCAGCGCCCCACCGCTACCGCGTTAACGCCCAGCTGGGCCGCGCCAGGCCCGGGAGGCGAGGTCGGCCCGCCCACCCCGACTATTGGCTGCGGAGAACAAAGGGGCCGCCCCGCGGGCTTCTTCGATAGGGCCGAGCTGGTCATCTGAGCAGCGCAGCCAATCAAGCGGCGGGGCGGCTCTGGGGATGGCCAGGCTCTCCAGCCAATCAGGGGCCCGCTCCCGCCCCGCCTGCCCTGGGACTGGCAGGGCCGGGGAGCCCAGTGCCCAAGTCGCCCCGGGGTGGCAGTTCCCGTTAACCTTAGCCACAAAGTCAAAGGTATTTATTCCCGTCCTCTCCCTCCGAGTCCCTCTGAATCCGGGCGGGGAGGGGCGTGCGGAGGGACGGGCCGTGCTGTGGGGCCGGCGCCCGGCCCCGCTCCTCCCGCGCTGCCTCCACCCAGCCGCGGGCTGGAGGCGGCCACGGGGCCCTCGGGGTCTCCTGAGTCCCCCCCGCGCTCCGGTCCCGAACTTTCCTCACCTCCACACAGCCCGTGGGGACAGGGACCCGGGTCGTGCGTGGGAGGGCCAGCAGGCCGAGGCAGAGCGCTGGGGGGGCCGATGAGAGCAGGAGGAACCGCGTGGTGAGCGGGGGGGACTGCCCCCCGGTCCCTCCGGGCGCGCCCTGCCAGAGCGCTGTCCCGATATTCGGGAGTTGTGACAGTCTCCCCAAAAGACCGAGCCTCTGGAGGGCAGAAACCTTAGTGCTCGCAGCAGAGTGACACATAGTAGGTGCCTAATAAACCATTAAATGAGTGGGGATAAAGGTTGGGGTGAGAACAATGAGTGGGAAGCACCACAGAGATTGGTAGTGTGTGTGTAGGAGTCTCCCCGAAACCTCTATTCCAGGAAAATGGGCACAGGAGCCAAGATCTCATTGGGGGTGGGGTAGGGGGTGGGGGCTTCTTCCCTTGGAACGGCGGAGGGTATGGAGGTGCTGCTCCCTACAGCCCTTTGGGCAAGATGGAGCCTGGAGTGGGTCTTGCTCAGCCGGAGCTGGAGCGGGGTGTGGTCAGAGCCCCAGAGGCTGGGGGGTGCAGAGAGGCCGGGAATAGCTCGGCTGTTCTTTTTGGGTCCCTGTGTTCATCTGTAAAATGAAGAGATCAGAGGATATTAGTCTACTTTCAACTGTAAGGTTCCATGATTCTGTAGGCTGTTTTGGACTTAAGTTTCTTTTATTTAAGTGCTCCTTTATTAAAACGCTTATTAATGGTTTACAGCATGTGGGACCTTGTGCTGGATGTTAGGGAGAGAGAACCACTCCCTGTGTTAAGATGTTTACAGTCTTGTTGTGGAGACAGACAAATTATTATTGATGGTGCTGGCTTGGGTGGGTGCACAGGTGAAACAGAGAAGGGCCCCTAACTGAGCCTGGCGAATCCAAAAACGTTTCCTGGTCACGCTGATCTCTGATTCAGGCTGCGCCTGGGAGAGGTGGGCAAGAGTATTCCAGGGCCGGTTACAGGTGTGTGGCGACATGGCGAGGCCCAAGAGCTGCAGAGTGGGACAAAGGGGCAGGTGGGGGTGCAGTGAGGAGAGGTGAGCAGGGGCCAGGTTTTAAATGGTCTGAACCTGAAGTACTGAGGACCCATTGAAATATCTCAAGCAAAGTCATAACATGTCCAAATTGCAGTTTTAGGTCAATTGCTTTGAGTTCTGGGTGGTGGATGGATTGGAGGTGCCATCTCCAGGAGAGAAGTGGTGAGGCTTGAACTAAGGCAGCGGCCGCAGGAGATCTGGAGGTATTAAAAATAGCACTGGTACGACTTAGTGACCTATGGCTCTTAAGATTTGTGCTGTGTGGTAGCGAAAGGTGGTGGCGTTTTTTGAGAGGCCTGATGAAGACTCACTGTCAGCCCTGGGAGGCCCAGGGCAAGGTGCAGAGTACAGCCGAGGTGGTCTGGTCTCTGCCCCTGGAGAGGGTTAAGCTGAGGAATCCAAGGAATCCAGGGGGAAGTGGCCTGGAGGGAAGAGTGTGGTCAGGGTGTGCAGAAGGACACCTGATGTCTAACCCTCTGAGGCAGAGAATGTCACCTCTGGGCCTTGCGTTCCTCACCTGACAAGAGGGAAACACGCCC